AGCTAAAGGGGGCAAAAATGAATTATGGTTCAGATGTGAGTATGATATGTTAAAAATTCACCTTTTTAATTCTTCTTTTATCCCAGTCTAAGTAATTATATCCCCAAGTAAGTAACAAGGAGTGATTATTTTCTTTTTCTTTATAGCAGTACTGGGGCTATGATGAAAATGAAATGATAAATGACAAGTTAACATTGAAGAGAAAGCTTGGACTTTCACCTAGTGGGAACATCTGAACCAAATGCAAACTATAGGGGTTTTCCTTTTTTGAGAAAGTAAATTTGATTAACATGGGGTACACAGACACATGAGTAAATATGAAATTCACGTGGTAAGTGATTTTTGGTCCTCTACAATCAGGGACAGAGCCAGGATGGAAGGTAAGGGGGGCAAAAATGAATTATGGTTCAAATGTGAGTATGGTGTGTTAAAAATTCACATTTTAAATTCTTCTTTTATTCCAGTCTAAGTAATTATATCCCCAAGTAACAAGGAGTGATTTTTTTCTTCTTCTTTACAGCTCAATGCAGTGTAGGGGCTATGATGAAAGATGATAAATGACAAGTCAACATTGAAGAGAAAGCTTGGACTTTCACCTAGTGGGAACATTTAAACCTAATGCAAACTGTAGGGGTTTTCCTTTTTTGAGAAAGTAAATTTGATTGACATGGGAGTACACAGACACATGAGTAAATATGAAATTCACGTGGTAGGTGATTTTTGGTCCTCTACAATCAGGTACGGAGCCAGGATGGAAGGTAAGAGGGGCAAAAATGAATTATGGTTCATATGTGAGTATGGTGGCTTAAAAATTCACATTTAAATTCTTCTTTTATCCCAATCTAAGTAATTCACATTTTATGGCATTTTAAATTCTTCTTTATAGCTCAATGTAGTGCAGGGGCTATGATGAAAGTGAAATGATAAATGATAAGTCAACATTGAAGAAAGAACTTGGACTTTCACCTAGTGGGAACATCTGAACCAAATGCAAACTGTAGGGGTTTTCCTTTTTTGAGAAAGTAAATTTGATTGACATTGGGTATACAGACACATTAGTAAATATGAAATTCACGTGGTAGGTGATTTTTGGTCCTCTACAATCAGGGACGGAGCCAGGATGGAAGTTAAGGGTGGCAAAAATGAAGAGTATGGTGTGCTAAAAATTTACATTTTAAATTCTTTTTTTATCCAGTCTAAGTAATGATATCCCTAAGTAACAAGGAGCGATTTTTTTGTTCTTCTTTATAGCTCAATGCAATACAGGGGCAATGATGAAAGTGAAATGATAAATGATAAGTCAACATTGAAGAGAGAGCTTGAACTTTCACCTAGTGGGAACATCTAAACCAAATGCAAACTGTAGGGGTTTTCCTTTATTGAGAAAGTAAATTTGATTGACATGGGATACACAGACACATGAGTAAATATGAAATTCACGTGGAAGGTGATTTTTTGTCCTCTACAATTAGGGATGGAGCCATGATGGACGGTAAGGGGGTAAAAATGAATTATGGTTCAGATGTGAGTATGGTGTGTTAAAAAATCACATTTTAAATTCTTCTTTTATTACAATCTAAGTAATTATATTCCCAAGTAACAAGGAGTGATTATTTTCTTCTTCTTTACAGCTCAATGCAGTGCAGGGGCTATGATGAATGTGAAATGATAAATGACAAGTCAACATTGAAGAGAGAGCTTGGACTTTCACCTAATGGGAACATCTGAACCAAATGCAAACTGTATGAGTTTTCCTTTTTTGAAAGAGTAAATTTGATTGACATGGGGTACATACGCACATGAGTAAATATGAAATTCACGTGGTAGGTGATTTTTGGTCCTCTACAATCAGGAACGGAGCCGGGATGGAAGGTAAGGGGGGCAAAAATGAATTATGGTTCAGATGTGAGTATGATGTGTTAAAATTCACATTTTAAATTCTTCTTTTATCCTAGTCTAAGTAATTATATCCTCAAGTAACAAGGAGTGATTCTTTTCTTCTTCTTTATAGTTCGATGCAGTGCAGGAGCTATGATAAAAGTGAAATGATAAATGACAAGTCAACATTAAAGAGAGGGCTTGGACTTTCACCTACTGGGAACATCTGAACCAAATACCAATTGTAGGGGTTTTATTTTTTTGTGAAAGTAAATTTGATTGGCATGAGGTACACAGACACATGAGTAAATATGAAATTTACGTGGTAGGTGATTTTTGGTCCTATACAATATGCGACTGCAGTAGTCCAGCTTTTAAGTACTATGATAGGGATAAGAGTATAAAATATCCTAAAGTATATTTTGCGTAGTTTTTTTATTTGAAAATGTATGTAAAAAATACCTATAATCTTTTGGACAATACTTAGATCCTCACTAGTGAGGATTTACACCATTCTGACCGGTGATGTGGACTAATAACACATGAGCACGTCCTCTTTTAATTACCAAATTAGATTTAGTAATTAACCACCATATCTGATTTGATAAGTGAATATATATCCCATTATTTTTTATTTACTAATTAAAGATGACGTGCTCAAATGTTAATAGTCCAAATCAATAGTGAGAATGGTATAAATCCTTACTAGTGAGGATCTAAGTATATCTCTAATATTTTTATATTATGCAAAAATACCCATCAATCAGACATTTGACATAAATTAATATTGTAATATCCATTTTACAATTTTTCAAAAATGTCAAAGGGATATATATTTTACTAATCTCATAGTTATTGGGGTGTTATGTATACATTATATATATATATATATATATATTGAAACTATTTTCTTTATATGTATCACTAATTTTTTTTTTTTTTGATACTTTAAGAATTTGTAAATACCAATAGGCCTGTGGCCCAGCTATACAAGGCTCCTACTTTTCGAAGGGAGGTCAGAGGTTTAAATCTCAATGGAGACAGTGTGTGTGATTCCCAACTAGGAAAAAAAAAAAAAAAACAAAAAAAAATTTGTAAATAAGATTTGAATTTTTTGAGATTTCAATTTACTTGTGTTCTACTAAATTTTTTTTCTTTATTTATTTTTTCATAGCACCACTTTTAAACAAAAAAGATAAAAAAATAAAAATTCCCAAATTGAAACTTTAGGGGTGTTTGTTGCACGTTGGATGTCCTCTAATGGTGTCATTTTCAATCATTTTACAAAATTATTTATTTTTATATATTTTATAAAATAGTTCAGGGAGGGTAATTTAGTTAATTTGGGATTTAAAGTTGTCAATGCGACCTATTTGCACCAAATTGAATGTGTTTTTTTTTTTTTTTTTTTTTTTTTTTTGCACGTGAAGAATATAATATGCACTGTACGCATACTTTAGGGTATTTTTTGCACTTGACCCTAGTATAATAATGACCTGGTAATGGCATGTCTAAATGTGTATGTTTGTGACTTTTGATCTCAAATTAAGCAAATTATTTTATTTGTTTGTGTAGAATCAGTTTACCCAGCGTTGTTTTTTTTGTTTTTTTAATCTGGTAATGACATCCACCATCGCCGTCGCCGCCACCACCCAATTCCATTCTTTCCGATGAAGCTCCAAGTATCGAAACCCAGTTCACGTCGGCGTGTTCCCAAGTGACGACAAAGCAATGGCGAGCTCCTAGTGTTGGCGACATCTGCCATCGCCGTTGCCGCCACCACCCACACAATCCCAATCCCAACCCAATACCCATAAGAGGATTGGTGCCTCAACTTGTCAAAGAAAGTGTATGTATATTATATATATATGTGGAGAGAGAGAGAGAGAGAGAGAGAGAGAGAGAGCAGGGTATGGATGGATTTATTTCGAAAGGATGAGAGGAAAAAGAAATTGGTATTTAGAGATTTCAGGGGATGGATGGGTTTAAAGGATGGCAGATTGTTTGGTCCAAATTGGGACTCACCATAATTGGTCATTGCTGGAGGAATTTGATGGAAAGCTCTTCATAGAACAGATTGTAAAATATATATATATATATATATATATATATATATATATATGTGGATTGAAAGAAAAAAATTCATTACGATAATTAGATAGATCGGAACAACTGATTTATATACATATAATGGGGTTCTTCTATTTTTTTACTAATTTATGTAAAGATTGAGATTTTACATGATTCAAAATTAAATGATTCAAACCCAGTTCAGCAGTGATGCAATTATTCAAGAACAGTTTGCAATTGCGAGTTTTAGGGCTAGAAACACACACACACACACATATAATACATATGTGATTCTCTCTGATTTTTGCTGCTTTGATTTCGAAATCCTACTTCAGTTCGATTCCATTTTTTATCTAATTTCAAGAAGTCAAACTATGGAAAGAATGGTGAAGTCCGCGAAGTTGCCGATGAAGATGAGGAAGTTGGCGAAGTGAATTAGTTTGAGAAGGAGGACAACGACGATGGGAAAAAGTCGGTCTAAATTTCAAACTGTCTCTCTCTCCTCTATTGGCACAACTCAACTAATGGGTTTCACAGATCTCTCTATGCAACTGCAATTCCCAATCTTCCTCTCAACATTCTCTCACTATATATATGCGTATGTATATGTTAGTGTGTGATACCACCGGGGAAATGATGACGGAGTCGAATTTGTAGTTTTGGGTTTATTAGTTGGGCATTTTTGGAAGAGTAAAGAGGTAAAATAGACATTATATTAATTGAGGGGTGTTTTCGCAGAAATTGAAAAGAATGGTAGTGTTTTTAGCACACCTTTTTGAATGGGGGCAAAACTGCTATGAAAAATATACTTCAGGAGTGTTTCATGCACCTACCCCTTTTTAATATATATATATAACAAATTTGTAAGTTTCATGAATTGTACCATATATTTAATGACTTGATTCACAAAATCCAGGTTGTGAATATGAAATAATCTTATGAGTTTTCAAATTCTCGAACAATAAATGTAGCTCAGCAAATGTGTGTGTTCTATTCTGCCTTTTGTTATTTAATAGCCACCAGCTCAATTTGTCCAACGCAAGACATAACTATTAAACTAAATCAATTTCTCCATTTTCAGATTAAATCATATAATCATAATCATAGTGAAACCCTTAACAACAAGGAGTCTATCTCAAACCTATAAATAAAAGCCCTAAAAACTTAAACTTGACATGGGATTATAAAGAGATGAATAATCAGAGAAAGACATTACAAGGAATTTATTAACACACGAAGCTAAAGCCACACACACACACACACACACACACACACACACACACAGAGAGAGCTTAACGAGGTCTTGGCTTAAGAGGGTGTGAGGGGGTCCTCTCATCTCTGTAACACCGTACCTTCTAGGCTTCTCAAGACGTTCTTCGTCCTCGTACATACTCTTCCATCCGTATGTGGACATCTTCTTCCTTCACACAGAAATTACAAAGAGACGGATAATATTGCTAAAGCAAAAATGAGAAGCAACTCATTACTGCCCTAGGGTCAATGAGAACTTGGAGAACACAGTAGGAATCTCCTTGATATGCAATCACTTTTAATTGAGAAGTCATTTTAAGAGTATAGTCTAACAATTTAGCAGCAATGACAAAGTTCCAAAATTTAGAACACAGCAGAATACTAAACAAAATGAAACAATTCAGATAACCAAAGAAAAGCATCCAATTTATATGAAGATTATATCAACTGACAAAATTTTGAAGAATGCCCCTTCGCTTTCTGATTAGAAAACAATATAAAAGCTTTGTACTTTGGGGCCTTAAAACTCGTTAGTATGTGCAATTGTTAGCACACACTGGATACCTTTACAAGAAGTGAAACAAGTTTGTGTAAAGATTCCTTCTTGTGGTAACCCAGACAACTATTGCAAAAAGAACAATTTCATTCGAGTTATATTAAGCTTCTTCATACATTTAAATTTTTACAATTTTTCCTATCTCAAGAGTCAGTCTAAAATCTATAGCAGATATCACAATGACCATTTTAAATGAACTCTACCAAATTCCTCCAAAGGATGATAAATGGTCCAATGAGAAACACAACTGCACTCTTATTGACCATCTATATTCCCAAATAACATATTTTTAGCTGCACTGTTCAGATGTTACACTTTTTATTGCTGGTTTCTTGTTTTACGTTCCACCACCTAGTTGTTTATAGCCTAATTTCTACATTTTCTGTTATCCAATTCTTAAATCTAGTAGCACTTTGATTATTTTCATTACCTATCTCACAAAAAATATGACAATATGTGGTCTGACTGAGATAATGAGCCTAGATAAAGCGGAATGGCGAAACAAGATTCATGCAGTTCACCCCAAATTCCTCAGAGTTGAATCCATATCAGCCGTAATATTTCACTGTTTGTCAGCAACAGCCATCAAAGAGACCTAAAATTCGACTTCACTGGCTAAATAGGTCAGTTCCTTGCAGCCTCTCTCTCTCTTGATCTCTCTCTCTATATATATATTCATAACAATAGTTTCTAATATGACAGGAGGAGAAGATTGTCCAAGGAAGTAAAAGATAAGGTAAGGGTAGGGGTGTTAAGGAGATAAATGGAAATCAAGAACTTGAAGTTGTACTTGGAGAACCAAAGCATCATTAAAGAGAACGAGAAGCTAAGAAAGAAAATGTTCTTCTTCACCAAGAGAACAGTCTTGCTATCTCAATTCGAAAAGCTATCTTTTCCTCATAACCACATGGCTCACAACAACAACAGACACTAACAGCAATATTGATTATTTAACTATGCAGAAGAAGAAGATATAGGCCTTAAATTCTTTGTTCTTCTTGACAGAAGTCTTAGCTTCTCTTTGTACCTTTTTTTACCTTTTGTTTGATCAATGTCGAAATACCTCAATTAAGGGGAAAAAAAAGACAAGAGGGTTTAATGCATTTTATGACTAATAATAGATTCTCGAAATAAATTTTAATGGTTATATATTGTGATATTGGGTCGTGTTTGTGTGCGCGTGAGAGAGAAAACACATGTTGGGGTCTTCATATATAGTAGAATTGGGTATTAGATTATAATAACCTGTTTCTAGCGTAACCTAAGTCGTATATCCCTTCCTTACAAATGCATGCAAGGTTTAGGTTCAAGTCCCCAATTAGATCATTACTGGACAATTATAGGCACTTATGTATGACTTATCTGCCATAATAACCAGCTTCTGAATTTCATGCTCTAGCAGAGGTAACTGGTAAATGCTAAGGACGTTCTACTCAACTACTTATATCATTAAAAGAGGTGATTCAATCTCGCACACAAAGCATTTTGCTTTGAAAGGACATCATGCATCATTAGAATGCCACATTAAACGAAATCTAAGAACATGAGAAACCGAATCCACCAGCAGAAATATCCCTTCCTATCATAGTTGGTCATTTTAGAACCAAGGTCACTGACTACACCAGTAAGGAGTATCTATACAATTCATTAAGATAAGATACAAGGACAACAACCAAGGAAAATATGAAATGGGCTACAGAGGTCACAAAATACCTGATTGGCTATGATCCAAATGAACATGGCTTACAAGAAGAATCAAAATTAAATTCATGCAGCTGACCCCAAGTACTACTACATGGTTTAATTATTGATTTTGTTGTTCTCACTGCTGTCACAGGCGCATGAGTGCCAGATGCAAATTATTTCATCCTCCAAAATGATAACAAAATGGAGACACAGCAGAACAAAGAAAGTTTTCCTTTTCCTACACCATAGAGTGAACTGGAGTATCTATATAACAAATTATTACCTAAAAAGAATGTTTGCCACACTTTGGAAAAATCCTTTGTGTAAAAGGTGTTAAGAAAGTCCAGTAGTGATTATTCAGTTAGGAAAATATATATATCTTTCTTTCTAGAGACACCTTTAGAGTTCAAAAAGAGATATGATTAGCACATACGATACTCAGCCCTACCATGTTGTATTCAACTCAATTGCTTCAAATAGTATGTAAAATCTATTCAATTACAAAGTACAACGTATTACTTTAGAAATAATCTTCAAAATTAGCAGATCAAAATGAATACCAGAAGATATCCCAATATTAGGCATTCTAATAGCTAAAGAAAAAATGCATCAAACACCAAATCTTGAAAATAAAACAGGGGCACAATAATATGATAGCATTTTTGAGAAAATGGTTGAGAAATCATATATATCCTTTGTGCACTACAAATTACATTTCTAGGTGAAACCAATCATCCCCACTGAACCAACCATTAGTGAAAATGGCAGGAAGCTCAAGAGTGGTGGTAAAATAACTGAATTGTAAAAGATCCTAACATACATCCATAGTTTCAGTTGTAAATACAGATCTCCAATTTTCTTCAATGATCAAAATATTTATGAACAATGTCACAGACAAATGCCACATGAAAACACAACTACAGAAACAATTAATTTAAAGCACCCACTATGAAAGAGTAAAGACGATGCAATTGAAATGCAAATTGAATACCCACAAGCTCATTTTGTTTCAAGTAAGACATAGTAATTACTAAACTAAATCAATTTCCCCAATTTCAAATTAAATCATAAATTGATAATCATCTGGCAACATCTTATGGTGGCAATCATTGCAAAACTGAGACCACCAACAACGAGGAATCCATCTCAAACCTATAAAGAAAATACCTAAAACTTAAAATTGACTAAAGAATTGAATAATCAAAGAAACGTATTTCAAGTATTTCAGCAACACGTGAAGAAGCTATACATACATAGAGAGAGACCTGAAGGAGGTTTTGGCTTAAGAGAGTGTAATGGGGCCTCTCATCTCGCTGACACCGAACCTTCTGGGATTTTCGGGGCGATCTTCGTCCTCGTAGAAGCTCTTCCATCTGTATGCCGACATCTTCTTTCTTCACACATAAATTAGCAAGAGACAGGCAATATTGCAAAGAAAGAACGATAAGGTTCTCATTCTAGTCATCCTTGTTAATATATATACATACACAGATACATATATAATGGCAGTGTATACGCAGCTCTGATAAATTAATCATGATCGTCTTCGATCATCTTTAGGACACTTCATTTGATGCAGCTGATTCCAAATTCGATTATTGTCTGCCTGTTTTTGGGTCTCTGGGCCTAAGTTTTTGTTTGTTGAACTTTTTTTTTTTTTTTTTTTCTTCCCTATTTGGTACTCACACACACTTGTCTCTTCTGAGACTTGAACCCCTGACCTTTCTTTGAGAAGTAAGAGGTTGATACTACTAGACTACTGGCCCGTTGGTGTTTGTTAAACTTTGTATAGTCCGTATGTTTACATTGGGCTGTGATACATTGGTTGTACAGTGAGATTTTCTGAACTGATGTCGATGATTTAGCTTCTGTAATGAAAAAAGAAAGGCTACTATACAATTTCTTAATTTTTTTTATTTTAATTAATAAAATTTATTTTTAACAAAGTAAATAGAAATTTTATAGACAACCAGCAAAATATACATGAATAACTGCATAAAAAGAATAAGATCACTTTGCTTACAATTGAAAGCCCATTTACCAAGTTCATAGGCAACACAGTTACAGAACCTAGGAGCCCATGAAAAGAAAACTTTATCTACTCCACGAAGCCCATGTCATTTTCAAACTGGACTTTTTAGTATTGTTCAACCAAAAGCAAGTTTGTCCTAAAAAGACTGCAATACCAGCCCAATTTATCCTAACAATCCTGCAATACGTGAAACTTTTTTTCAAGTTAGAAAAGCAAGAAAATGATTTTTTTTTTTTTTAATTTTAAATTTCAAGTGTTTGAATAGTAAGAAAAGGAAACTAAGAGGTGACATCCAAACACTTGAAATGTTTAAAACATTTGGCCCGCGTAAAGGAGATTTGAATTAATCATTGTATTCACCTGGTAGATAGAGGAGATCTAAATTCCACCAATAATTCTATGTTTTGGAGCACTAATTTTTCTTTCTTCAATTTCAAGTCCAACGCAACAAGGGCCTCGTGGTCCAATGGTATCTCCTCTACCTCTCAAAGTGGATGGTGAGAGTTCGAGTCTCCAAAGGAGCAAAGTGGGTGTGTGAGTGGTGTGTGAGTTTCTTGCCAATGACACATAAAAATAAAAATAATAAAAATTCAATTCCAAGGCACCAATTAGTACTCCCAAACTCAGAGAGTAATTAGCTTTGGAATTTTTCTAGAAATTTCAATTTGATCATATATCATCATTTGTAGTGACAGTTTTCATTTTCTGACTTAAATTCTTCAAGTATTTATTGCCTTAACTGAATATAGTCCTCCTAGAACTAGTGAAAAACATAAAATAACATTCTCAAAACCCTGATCCTGGAATATTGAAATGCATGTTTATCCCCGTCCCACATGCACCAGACAATTACCGGGCCTCTTATGTCGTAATTTTTTTTTTTTTGAAACCCACTCCAACTCAATCTATTACTTTTATGGGTTTGGTAAGGCCTAGACCATGTTTAATAATTATATGAGTTTTGGGTTAAGATCGATCATTCACTGGTTGAATCCAAAAACAGATTCAGTCTGTTTATGGTTAGACTGATGTTAAGTGTGAGGTTCTTGTCCCAAATCCGGAGAAAGTTAACGAATATATATGCAGCACTACATAATGGCTTAAAATTATATGGTATATAAGTTTTTCCCATGACAAAAGATATTAATAGACTTCAAGAAAAAAAAAAAAAAAAAGAATTATAAATATAAAATAAATAAAAAGAATGGAACCTTGCATTGGCAAACATGAATAGAATTGTTAACAGTTTTTCAAAAACGACAAATATATATATTATCTCCAGAAATTTTCTAACCTATCTGCTAATCTAATATGAATAACTTGAACAAGGTCATTAGAAAATACATCCAATAGTAAAGAAGGCCAAATATACACTACATATCAGTGGTTTTCTTACTCATAGTCCATTTAATAACCACATAAGGCACTCTATGACAGTCTCTAGCGGCCCATGTCAAACAGAAATGTGAAAAACGAGATATAAAATCACCATGGACAAGAGGAACATTGAAATGTTAAAGACAGGAGGACTAATTATCATCCCAATATCTTTGTGTAAATTGATCAAGGTTTACACCCTGCCAACTTTAAATGCATTGTAAATATTTAGGATAAAAAAAATGCCATGACACGGATCACTTGGAGTTCTTAAACACGGAGGACTAATTATCTCTTAGAGTTTCCGGGACAAGGACCTTCTACGTCCCATTATACACGTGTTTTGTCTAATGCAAGGCGCTGTAGAAGCTCAATAAGCAACAATTTATCAACCACTCTACAGTATTGAAAATTGCAATGTTAAAATGTACTGAATATGGTAATCACAAAAGTTAATCCCATCTTGACACACACAATTTTCATCTGTGAGATGCTAACTCTAAATGCAGCCACTGTTTGAGCTAGTACACATGGCATTTCAGAAACATGTTCTCTAAGTACCTAAATCACCTTTTTTACTCCACCTATGATTATAAAAACATTTTCAGCATACTTCTACTAACAATGTATACAAAATACGACAAGATCATCTGAACACATGTACCTAATCCATGACCTAAAATAAGGATTAGGCAGCATCTCAGCATGTTATCAATCCAGTCACAAATTTTTTTGTTTCATACTTCCCCACACTCTGGAAATTAAATTTTATCTGGAAACAAATAAAAAAATATATAAAAATCTAATGAAATGTTTGACTTCATGTCTTAGCAACAGAAAATCGAAGACTTTGAATACAATAATTAAGAGAAATTGGTTTCATACCAGAAGATCGAGGTGTTGGGACCACATAAGAAACAAATGCTTGGTCACCATTGGCGGGGATATCAGACCTGTTGAACTTCACTGTAAAATTGGGGCTTGGCTTTCAGGCCACCACTCTTAATGAACCGCACAAATCTCAAGAGAGTTTCTTCAGGAACTCCAAGTGACCCCACATTAATCTCAACTGTATCAAATCCCAGTTGCTTACATTCCTCGAACAATGACATTAAAAAGGAAAAACACAACACACACACAATTCAGTGCCAAGGGATTCGGCAAGTAGTCACTAAGAAAAAGATTAGAACTTATATTGTCACACCTCTATGTATTCTTTGAATGCAGATGGACCTTTGCAAAGTAAATGTTCAGCCCACCAGTCACCTGTACTGACATATACATTGTGTTTGTGGGCCATGTTTGTCACATCTTTAATGAAATCATTCCGCGTCAAACTATGAGAGCCTCCGGGTAAACTTCAACCAATCAACAAACTGTCCCATAGATTCAAAAATATCCCGTAATACATAACTAGCATAGTTAGGAGAACCAATCAACTATGTAACCTTTCTCAACTGTATAAGAATGTAACATACATTTTTCTCTCATGATCCAACCTTTAAAAATCGATATCTTAAGCCCAATAACAATATGCTTTGCTCGTCAAGCAAACCATGACAATGTTATACCATATGAAAAACAGTGTTGCATTTAGTAAGTGACTATTAGCTAACTGCATAAATAACTAAAGAAAAATGGAAACAAAGATTATATTAACCATAATGATCAACATTAGCTAGATAAATAATCTAAGATGCATGTACTTTATATTCACTTATTGAACATATACAAATGAAATTAAGGCCTTTGTAATCTGAACAACGAATGACTTCATACACAGATTTCACAGCAAATTAAAGGAACTTATAACCAAGACCCTCCGAATATGATGAAGTACATTACTGCCCAAGGGTCAATGAGAACTTCGAGAACACAGGAGGAAATTCCTTGATATGAATCTCTTTCAATTGAGCAGTCATTTAAATAGTATAGACTAAAAATTTAGCAGACAATGGCAAAGTTCCAAAATTTAGAACACAGAAGAATACTAAAAAAAAAAAAATTGAAACAATTCAGATAACCAAAGAAAACCATCCAATTGATATGAAGATTATATCAACTGATAATTTTTGAAGAATGCCCCTTCCTTTTCTCATAAGAAAAGAACATAAAAGCTTTGTAGTTTCGGCACTTAAAACTCGTTAGTATGTGCAATTAGTAGTACACACTGAATACCTTTTCAGGAAGCAAAGCAAGTTTATGTAAAGATTCCTTCTTTTAGTAACCCAGAGAACTATTGGAAAAAGAACAATTTCTTTCATGTTATATTAAGCTTCATACATTTAAATATTTCCTATTTTTCCTATCTCAAGATTCTTTCTAAAATCTATAGCAGATATCACAATGACCATTTTAAATGAACAACTCTACCAAATTCCTCCAAAGGATGATAAATGCTCCAATGAGAAACACAACTGTGCTCTAAATGACCATCTATATTACCAAAAAAAAAAAAAAAAAAAAAAAACTTATGTTATGTTTCGGGGCACCAAATCAGTGCCTTGGATTTGGGATTGGAGGAAGTTTAGTTCAAATTTTGTACTAAATTTTCTCCAATCCCAAATCCAAAGCGCCGATTCAGTGCCACCAAACATGGCATTATTTTAGATCACTGTTCAGATGTTACACTTTTCATTGCTGGTTTCTTCTTTTAGGTTCCACCACCTAGTTGCCAAGAACCTAATTACGTCATTTCCTCATATCCCATTCTTACATCTAATAGCACTTTGATCATTTTAGGTATTTATCTCATAAAAATACAATATGTGGTTTGGCTGAGATTATGAGCCTAGATAAAGGGGAATGGCGAAACAAGATTCATGCAGTTCACCCCAAATCCCTGAGAGTTGAATCCATATCAGCCGTTATATTTCACTATTCGCTGGCAACAGCCATCAATAAGACCTAAAATTTGAGTTCACTTGCTAAATAGGTCAGATCCTTGCAATCAATCAATCTATCTATCTAGGGGAGTTGAGGAAAGAGATGGAAATCAAGAACTTGAAGTTGTACTTGGAGCACTAAAGCATCATTAAAGAGAACAATAAGCTGAGAAAGAAAGCTGTTCTTCTTCACCAAGGGAGCTATCTTTTCCTCATAACCACATGCCTCACAACAACAACAAACACTAAAATAAATACTATGCAGAAGAAGAAGAAGACATAGGCCTTATATTCTTTGGTCTTCTTGACATTACCATTGTACCTTTTGTTTGATCTTTGATCCATGTTGAAGTACTTCAATCAACAGGAAAAACAAGGACAGGAGGGTTTTATGCTTTTTATTACTAAAAAAATATTTTTGATATTGATAAATAAATTTTTATGGTTATATATTGGGATATTGGGCCGTGTTTGTGTGGGCGTGAGAGAGAGAGAGAGCACATGTTGGGGCCTTCAGATATAATAATATTATGTATTAAATTATATTAATCTGTTTCTAGCTTAACCCAAGTCATAAATCCCTTCCTTACAAATGCATATAAGGTTCAAGGTTCCAGTCCCCAATGAGAAAATTATTAGGCAATTATAGGCACTTATGTATGACTTATCTACCAAAATAATAATAATAATAATAATAATCTGCTTCTGAATTTCATGCTGTAGCAGAGATAACTGGTGAATGCCAAGGACATTATACTTATCATTAAAAGAGGTGATTCAATCTGGCACACAAAGCATTTTCCTTTCAAAGATCATCATGCTTCATTAGAATGCCAGTGAAGCACAGAAATGGATACAAGACACGGTTACGACACAACACAGACACAGCGACACGGCAAATCCTAAAAAATTAGGATACAGGAATATATTATAATGTATATGATATTGTACTTTACGAAAACTATGAGTAACATTATTTTTTATCAACCTAATAATGAAAAACAAATTAAGTTTTGCTGCGAAAAAGAAAAAATGATAAAAACAGGTTTAAGAAAGATTGAAAAAAAAAAAAAAAACAAAGAAACACAGGGGATTAGGATTTTGTTAGGAAAAAAAAAATTAGGGTTTAGTTAAAAATAAAGGTAAGAATTCATGTAAACAAGAGGAAAAAAGCGGAAAAAAGCACAAGAGATATAAAAAGAATTTTGTTGCGAAAGGAAAAAAAGAAGTATCTAGGGTTTGTGAAGAAGAAAAAAAAGAGGACGAAAAAGAAGATAGAAAAGAAGAGAAAGAGGGCGGAGAGAGAGAGACAATTCACCGGCAACGAAGCTTGGTCGGTGGGAGAACAAGCTAGAGTCAAAGATGATTGTGCAAGAGTTTGAACCTTTGAACTAAAATATAAGCATAAATATCTGATTGTTTTAATATAAAATTGTTTTATAAAACAACTTTTAACTAATTATGTAATGATTATTAAACAAATTCTCATAGTGACACTTCAACCTAGCTTCCTTTCTAAAACTTTCTTAAAAATCCCCAAGAATGCCTTATAAAAAAATTTAAAATAAAAATAAAAAAATCTCCAAGAATGGGATACGCTTGTCCACGGCGTGTCCGAATATTCAAAATAATAGATAAACAAATTCACACATTTTTTTGGCGTGTCCAAAATGTGTTGGGGCGTGTCCGGTGCATGTCGGTGCCCGACACTTATTCTTTGCCCTTTTAGGCGTGTCCATGCTTCCTAAAATGCCACATTTAATGAAATCTAAAAAGATGAGAAACCGAATCCACCAGTAGAAATATCCCCTTCTATCATAGTTGGTCATTTTGGAACCAAGGTCACTGACTAGTGACTATACCTGTAAGGAGGATCTATATAATTTACTAAGATAAGATACAAGGACGGCAACCAGGGAATATATGAAACGGGCTACAGAGGGCACAGAAAACCTCTGAGTTTATGATCCAAACGAACATGGCCTTCAAGCTGAATCAAAAATTAATTCATGAGCTGACCCCAAGTACTACTACATGGTTTAATTATTTATTCCGTTTTTCTTGCTGCTGTCATTAACCTTTCTCAGTACCCACGGTAACGGTGTAGATGATGATTTTTGGACACGCGCGAGTGCCAGGCGCAGATACAAATTTAGGCTCAAATTATTTCAACCTCCAAAATGTTAACAAATGAGGCCATGGCGACAATCAAAGTTTTTTTCTCCTAGAGTGATCTGGAGTGTCTATATAACATATTATTACCTAGAAAGAATGTATGCCCACTTAAGGAAATTCTCTTGTGTAGAAAGTTGTTAGAAAGTTCAGGTGTGAGTATTCAGTTAGCAAAATATGAATTTCTTTCTTTTATCATACTCAGCCTACAATGTATCCAACTCAAGTACTTCAGATATTATGTAAAATCCATTCAATTACAAAATACAATGCATTACTTTAGGAATAATCTTCAAAATAAAGAAACCAAATTGACTAGCAAAAGATATCCTGATATTCAGCATTCCAATAACTAAAGAAAAAATGCATTAAGACTAAAATTTGAATATAAAACAGGGGCGCAACAATAGGATAGCATTTTGGTTAGGTTGCTTGAGCAAACACTGGCAAACAACAATGCCAATTTTGAACATTACAGAGAAGTTGAAATATACCCTTCGTACATTAGATATTGCATTTCTATATGAAACCAATAGTTCCCACCGGACCAACCATTAGTGAAAGTGGCAGGAAGCCGAAGAGTGGAAACAAAAGAATTGAATTGTACAAGATCCTAGCATTTATCTAGGTAAATATAAATCTCCAATTTTCTCCAATGCTCGGAATATTTATGAACAATGTCACCAAATTCAACATGAACACACCAACTACAGAGCAATTTAAGACGTGAACACCCAACATGAAAGAGTAAAGATGATGCAGTTGAATGCAGCAATTTGGATCACCACAAGCTCAATTTGCTTCATGTAAGCCATAATTATTAAACTAAATGAATTTCTCAGTTTTCGAATTAAGTCCTACAATCAAATAATCATCAGGCAACAACTTATGCTGGAATTATTGCAAAAATTGAGACCACTAACAATGAGGAATCCATCTCAAACCTATAAATAAAAACCCTAAAACCTAAACAGACAAAAGCTAAATTTATATAGTTCACATTATATAGAGAGAGACCTGAAAGAGGTTTTGGCTTAACAGGTGTAATGGGGCCTCTCATCTCGGTAACACCGAACCTTCTAGGCTTCTCAGGCCGATCTTCGTCCTCGGAAAACCTCTTCCATCTGATTGCCTACATCTTCTTTCTTCACACAGGTATTGCGAAGACACAGATAATATTGCAAAGTGTAAACGATAAGGAACTCGCTTTAGCCACCATTAATATACATAGATACTACATAGAACGGCAGTGTATGATCTCTGGCATGGGCATTCCATTTTCAAGAAATGTTGAAAATTTGTTTCGTCATCGTCTTACTATTATTCTACTCAGATATAGGGCACACGAGTAAAAATCACCAGTCAGCAATTTTGTTAAGAAGCTTAGTGGAATGATAATAATAAGACTATTATTAGAAATCTATATATATATATATAATAAGACTAAAATATGCTGAAGATAAGTTTTTAAAACAAAATAATAAATATAAAAAATAATTTCTCTATGGATAATATTTTTATTTATGACATTACAACTGTTCAAGAGAAGTAGATAATTTTTTATTTATTTAGGGTTTTTCTTTGCATAATAAAAGAAAAAAATTAGTTGGAAGAGAGCTGTTTAGTATAGAAAGTAAATGTCGGATAGATACATAACATGTAGAATTCTATATAAATGTTGGAGAGATACATAACATGTAGAATTCTATTACAAAATGATTTATTCTTAGAAAAATATGATTAAGATGCATAGAGAAGCTTAATCATATAAAATGAAAATCATTAGATGGCCCTCCCATCCATCTTCAGTAAGTGCAATCAACAAACCAATCGGCCTTCTTTTTGACTTTCCAGTATTGGGGATATCGATATTTGCAGCAAGCTTAAGCCCGTGTCTACAAGCCCATAACTCTGCTGAAACCAAGCCCAATTTACTTGATTATTTGTTTATTTTTTTAATGACGGTATGTAAATAGGAATATATATATATAATTGGGCAAAACAGTGTGGCAATTTTGTCCCAGCAACATGGTAAAATGAGAGCTGGCATTCCCATGGAGCAAGAACTTGAGGTGAAGTGAAATTTATCATGTATGGAACTGTTTGTGTTTTGTAACATGAACATAGAAATTTCAAGTATTTATTGCCTTAACTGAATATAGGACAAGTCCTATAACTAGTGAAAAAGACCTTTCCTTTTTAACTGTAAATCAACATAAGATACATGAAAACATATAAGTTCCTCAAAAACCTGGTTTGGAATCTTTAAATGCATGTTTGGGAGAATATTTCAAACTTTGAGCTGTCCATGCATCCTAGCCAGTAGCCATCCCAACAGATTCGTCGCTTGCCGGTGATGCCCTGCTTTCCTTCTCCCCCATGAAAGGAATCCAAATCTAAAAGCAAAAAAAGCAGAATAAAGAAATTTTTTGAAGACAAAAGAAGCCTTTCCCTCCATTATTACAGCTAATCTTGTTAAGATATGATATTAGTCTGCATCCACTCTTCTACTTTATTCAGATTCTCTCCTCATGAAGGACAAGTAATCAAAGGGCCATGCTAATAAAGAGAGATATTCCTTATATAAAAACTTCTCCCATCTTTTCTTTCTCAAACATCTCTTTCAGAGCTTTCAGTCTGCTAAAATGGCAAAACAAATAGGCCTTCTCATTTGTCTCTTGATCATCATATTGGACGTTGCAGCAGGTATTCTCGGCATTGAAGCTGAAGTAGCTCAGAACAAGGTATGCGTCAAAAAATCTTTTGCATAACAGAATGGAAAACTATAATTGTGTTGCTGCAACTAATTTTTGTTGTTTTGGCACAGGTGAAACATCTTAGGCTGTGGATATTCGAGTGTAGAGATCCGAGCTTCCAGGCTTTCAAGCTCGGGTTGGCTGCTGCAGTGCTTCTTGCCCTCGCGCACGCCATTGCCAACTTGTTTGGTGGCTGCACTTGCATTTGGTCCAAGGATGAACTGAATAAAGCACCTCCCAACAAGCAACTAGCTGTGGCCTCCCTCGTTTTCTCATGGTAATTTACTGTTTCATATTCTATATTTTGTATTCATTTGTGAGTTTTATGGTAACATTGTCTTAATTGCTTCAAATTTTGAGCATGTCATAAGATTTCATCTGAACTCGTTCGATTCATTAGGATTATACTAGCCGTTGGATTCTCGATGCTGATGATAGGGACTTTAGAGAACTCGAAATCAAGAAAATCATGTGGGCTATCACACCATCGTGTTCTATCTATAGGAGGGATTTTGTGCTTCCTTCATGGACTGTTTGCAGTTGCTTATTGTGTTTCAGCCACTGCCATTGGAGATGAAGAGAGGAGGATTCCACAGGGAACCCGTGTTTGATGTTTTTTATTTATTTCCTAGTTTTGTTTCTCTGTTAATCTCTCTAACTCCACACTCCACAGCTTCAAAATACAAGCAATCTTTATCATGTCACATACCCCTCTCCATATATCGCCAATGTCGATTTCTTTTTCTTGCCGCATTGTGATCCTGTAACGATTTGTTTGAGACATCGTCACAATGTTGAGATCCTGTAAATCGATTTGTTTGAGACAACATTGTAACAAGATCATAGGCCCATTTAATTTTTTTTATTTTGTTTTTTGAGTTTTTGTCTTGGCAAGAAACTCCCACAAAGGGGACTCAAATCCTAAAAGAAAAAAATTAATTTTAAACAGGAAATCATAAAACCCCTCTTTTTCTTGGGAAGTAAAATCTTATTGACAGCAATGACAGCAACTAACACAGCATTTCCAATAGCTCCATTCTCTTCTGTTGGTGACATGAAAACGCAAACACGTGACTAAGTAAGCATCTGTTCCAAGATTGCAAATAAGGCATTCATTGGGTAACTAGTTCAGAAGAAAATAATGATAATGATGCTACCAAACCATTGGCAAGATACCAAAAGGAAATAACAACAACAACAACAATGATACAATTACTTGACTAATCAAGCCTCTGTTATAAGTTGCAAACAAGGCATTCATCTGTTAACTAGCTGAAAAGAAAACAGCAACAACAACAACAATAATGATGAAATGATACGATGCCATTGACAAGATACCTGTAGAAAATAATAATTCGAGTAAATGCTACAAAACCCGATCAGTTTTTGTAGACTATAATAAATAGAGTCCAACAGGGACTATAGAACTCTCTTCTGTCTTCATGTCGATCACTAATTGCCACATCAGGTTGGTTGTATAATCTGCTGAAACAAATCATCAATTGTATCACTTTCCTAATAACAATGATGATACAACAAGGCAACATAGTATAGGCTCTCCTCTCCAAATGAGAAAAGTGAGCGATTTGAACCCTACATTGGACAGTGTGGTGTGAGCATGTAAACAAAACAATTTAAAATCTTGGTTACAAGCCAGATTTGTCTCATCACGTCTTCCAGGTCTCGAGGCCCTTTTAGCTTTTTAGATTTTTCATGTTTCATGGTTGTTTATCTTAAGCCGGTAAGAGAGTGTATGGATGCCAAATTATAAACAAACCAGAAAGCATTAACAAATTATCCATGAATTTATATCATGTGAACTCAAGGGTCAGTCAATGCTTCATATGGTTGCTGAGGATACATGGAAACAAGAAAAGCTGGGGTTTGGTGGAGAGGCAGGTGAGTGTTAGAACCACAATTGCTCCAAGTCACCAACCCAACCACATCAAAGTAGTATTAAACTTGTATCATTCCTCTTATCCCTCTTATTGATCAAGCTGAACATTATGTTTAATATAACAACCAAAAATCAAATTTCAAATTCACCACCAATTTCAAATTCAAACTCTTTCTTCATTCCATTATATATTTTATAGGAGCAAAATGAATAATTAAAGTGAAACTTAAGCAGGTGGAGACAAGGACTTTCAAGATGCTTTACAGTTTCACAATGTGATTTTACCCCTAACATGTCTTGCCAAATTAAAAAAAAATGGCTCATCACAAAATATTTTGAAAATACAAAGGACCACAAATAGAAAAGAGGAGAGGAGGGAGGAGAGAGATCAAAACAATATTTTATACCAGGTCACAAAGAAATTCATGGAATCCTCTCCAACCTATTTCTTTACTACCACTGACAAGGATTCAGAATGCCAAAAAGAAAAATCTCATTAAAACACTAATAAGGCTAGTTAATAAATTTTAATAGATTGTTCTAAATAAAAAATAAATAAATCACCACAAACAAAAAATGTACCATCTACAGGCACTCGACGATTCCAAAAGTTCCAACGTAAGAAATAAACCAACAATAACCTAAGATCCACAAAATTAACCATAACAGTTGCAACTGCACCAGTTTAATCATAGCCTGTGTGTGTTTCATGAGTGGTGGTCGTGGTAGTGTTAGGGGAGGGGGCTTGAATTTGGAATTGGAACAAATTTAGTTCCAAATCCAAGGCGCCGATTCAATGCTTCCTAATGCAACATGAGCAAATTACTTACTGATACCACAAGAATCTCCAACAGAGTAAGGAAAATACATGTCCTGATAAGATAAAATCACAATATATCACATTATCACAATTGCTAACTAATTAACTGGGATAATAGCTCCATGCATATGATGTGCTCTATGCAAGAACTGCATATTGCTAACCAAATATTTATGATGTCGCCTGGGGGTCAGGTATGTAAACCTCTTATTATTATTAGGCTCTATCTGGCGTCTTTTTATTTACGCATGAGAAAACCATATGCCATAGTTCCTCTCCTTTTTCTTTTGCCAACATTCCATTTAAACCCAGCTCCTTTTCTTTTATTGCCTTCAACTTGAACTAAATCACCTCTCTCTACTAGTTCAGTTAATAATTCCCTCAAGTGGAAAATAATTTAACCTTCCATCACAGGGCAACCCTGTTTCAGACAACTTTTGTATTTTACCTTACTCTTAATCAATGCTACAAGAGCTCTCAAATTAATCAATCACTAATCCAATATTTTATGCATTGCCAAATGCTCTCATTCCACCTAAAGACGTCCCTTCCTGAATATGCCCAACAAACTCATCTACACCTCCCGTGGACCAACAATCGAGAAAGATGCATTTCCCTATCCCAAACCCAACATGGCTATTGACCAGATTTGTCGATCAAGCTGACCAACTTGGGTAACCTATGCAAAAGATTAGGACATAATCTTGATACTTAAGCTAACCATATCAAGAATCAAAACAGAGGCAGACGGATGAAACCCCAAAGTTTATCCGCTATGCTATATAGTTGAGGGATTATTTCAAATTAAAGGAAAATATGGTTTGACATCCAAAAACCCATGAAAAAAAAAATTCTTGTCCTGAACAAAAATTTCCAGATCAAGCAAATTGATAACACCAATATGTCAAGCCAATTGTAATATGAAATATTTCCTATGATACTGAGTAAACAGCAGTCAAACAAATATTCCAATTATGGTAGCCAAGATCAGGATTATCAAGCCACAACAACAAATCTAAAGCCATTAAAACAAGAACTAAAAATTAAAAGATATTCCAAAGGCAAGATTTCAGAGTTGGATAAGAAAGATCGAACTACAAACTCATAATTACATAAGTTATTAAACTACTACAAACACAAATGCAACAATTAACCTAGCAGTCTGTCTCCAGGATCATCAACTAAAAACCACCATAAATTACCTGATCAGATTCTAATGCTCTGGTGATTTAAGCACTGCCAGCACATGTTTGGTCTGCTCACGAACCAACTCCACCCTTTTCAAGTAAAGCTCAACCTCTTCCACCCGCAACTGCTTCCACTTCTCCTCCAACTCTAGCCTCTTGCTACCTCCAATCAACTCTAACCCATCCCTTATAATCTCATCTTCCAAACTTGAATCAATGCTTTTACTGAACTGGAACAGCCGGGCCGGCTTTGCTTTTTGCTCACCATCCACCTTAGCTTCTCCATTCTGTACCTCAGGATCAGAATTCGCATCCAATATCGGTGAAGGGGCGGCTCTACTACTTTTAAGGTTCTGATTCTTCTTTTCTTTCTCATTAACCTTTGGGCTAACAACACCTATACTATTAGCTTCACCACCCCATATCCTCTTGGACAATTCGTATGCCTTCTGCTCATGGGGCTTAGTTATATTCCGCTCACCGCCCTTTTTCCCTTTGCTCGCATTGTTCTCATACTTCTTCTTCAATCGCCTAACTTTTTCAGACAATTGGGCCTTGCTTACATCAATATGAAGTTTATTCTTGATAAAATTATGAAATGCATTCATATCAGCAAGTGGGTCGGCCCGTTTCTTGGCCGTGTACTCGATCATACCATTCAACACAGCAATCTCATCCTCTTCGCTCCACAACCTCTGAAACAACTGCTTCTTCGTGTCATCACCAGTCTTCTTCGCCGCATCCTCTTCAATAACCCCATCCCCTACACCCCTCTTCTTCTTTGCCTTTTTCGACTTCTGATTGCTTTTCTCTTCCAACGGCCGTTTCACGGTGACGCTGGGCTTCGATCTGGGTTTCTTAGTAGCTTTCGGAGTCTCTTCCATGGGCTTCGAAGAGATGGGCTTGATGTTAGGGTCGGCTCGGCGAGAGAGCGAGATTTGCTTGTCGGTGCCGGAGTCGGATTCAGATCCGGATTCATCAGACGACGAAGATTGGAGTGTTTGCGCCGAGATTTCGGTGGCTTCTGGCTTCTTCAAAGCAGAGGCCTTTTTGTCCTTAGGAGGCGTAGGTGGTGACCTCTTGTCTTCTTCTTCTTCTTCAGATTCTGAGTCTTCTCGCGCTACATTTTCACGTGATTCTTCCTCCTCCTCCTCAGAAGACGAGCTGTGTTGTGCATCGTGCTCCAGCCGACGAGTAGGTGCCATTGCAGAGAGAAAGAGATTGAATAAATTTAGAGAGAGACGAAATTTCTTAACTAGGGTTTGCAGCCCCAAAGTGGATAGAGAGAGAGCTCTCGACTCTTGAGCTGGTATGAACGATTGAGTAACACGAAGTGAATAGGAATCGAGTTGTCCAATTATCAAAGGAGAGGGGCGTTATTGAGATTTCGAAATGCTGAGTTAGGACCGTGGAGAAAAGATTAAATGAGAGTGGCCACAAAAAGAATGATGTAGAAGCAGTATATCTGACCGTTAGATTACCAAGAGGAAATCTGGTGACTGCAAATAGTCAATATAATAATTAGTGAAATCGGACAGCTGAACTGCCGCCACCGATACAAACGGGAAGATTCCCATGCAATGCTCTTTTTAGTAATTGAAGTAAAACCCCAGAGTTTCCAATTATTTCAAAAAAAATCTTGGCCAAAGTCTCAACCGAAGAACTTGCATATATATCCCCCAATTCCAAACACAATATTCATGCACTTAAAAGGAATAAAATTGTTAATATCATTTGTGAAAAAATGTCAAGTTGCTAATAGACATATTTCCATTAAAAATTAATAATAATATTTCTATATATGAATCAAAACACATAAATGAAAAATATTATTTGATAACTTCCAGGTGAACAGTTTTATTTTGAAAAATTGCGCTTAGATGTGTTTGGTACACTTTTAATGATTATCAAATTTAAATCTTTGAATGGAACTAGAATTTGAAGCTTTTAAAACTTTGTTTTGAGTAGATGTTGAATATTTTAAGTAACTTTTTTATTTATATAATTTTGTCCTTTTTATTTTTTTATAAACACAACCACACTTAGTCATATAATTCGCTCAAACCACTAGGCTCCGTTGCTCTGTGCGTGAATTGGCATTTTGAGAGCAAATTCGTCAAAAATTCATGCTCTTACGTTTTTGAATTCGCTGGTTTTTTAAGTTCAATTCGACGAATTGTGTAAGGTAAAATCGCATATTTTGTTCAATAAGTTGACGACATTTTGACAATAAATTCACGAATTTAATGCGAATCTTGAGAAATTTCGATTTTACTCCAAACTTAAATAGACCAAATAAGATTAATTATGTCAAAAAGTAATCAATTTAATTTAATTAAGTAAACCTTTATAGGTAAAAATCAAATAATATAACAATATACTTAATATTTAATAATACTTATTTATTAATAAAGAAATAAATGAATGAATAACTTTTCATATTCTGATTGTGATTTCTCAATTTTCTCTTGGCTATTAAGTGTTGAGTTCATGATTCTTGAACTTCTTTCACTAGTAATTGACTCTTGATTCACCCTTATAGTCTTATTCTCTTTTCATCATTTCATATTCTCTCTGATATTTCATATACTTTTCATATGCTTTTGAACATTGATATTTCAAAAACAATGATTGTCATCTTGACAGTTTAAAGCAGATTAAATGTATAAAAGACAATGTTTTTGAACATTGCTTTTTCTATTATGCCCTATTCATGGTTATGTTTTAATTTTTATAAAGCAACTTATTTTATTGTCATGTTTGTTAATTTATACATTTATATAAAGCAGTTTATATTAGTTGTTATGGACTCATATTTGATTCACTATTTGGTCTTTTTATTTGCATGAAATTTATTTAAAACATATATTTACTATTATAAATTAATATTTTATATATTTATAATGCAGCGCTCCCACTCTAAGATTTTTTGAGATATGCCGCTTTCGCGCTCCCGCTCTATGTGACTTATATACCCCTTCCTTAATAAAGTTGCTATTATCAAATATGTTAAAATCACACTAAAGGATATAATTGTAAATTGGCAAAAGAAGTGTTTAAAAAGAAATTGTTACCAAATAAATTGAAAAATAATTTAATTGTGAAAAATATTTATTATAATATGTCACCAAATACCTAATATATTTTTTATTAACCATAATTTTTTTCACAATACTGTTGATAAAAGTGTTTTTTATTTTATTTTAACAGTAATCCCAAACAGATTTTCAACTCTTTACTAGACCAAGTGAGTGTGTAAAATTGTTTCAAAGTTAGTAGTGATAATTTAGCCATGTGAAGAGACAGGCTCTCACTGGCGGAGCCAACATGGGCCAATCTAATTGGTCAAATGTGTTTTTGTTAGTAAATTGATGAAAGAGAGAAGCAAATCACCAAAACACATTAATTTACACTATTACTTCTCAATTTGTAGTCTTATTGCTGGTCGGAAAAAAACAAGAGAGAAGACAAAAAAAAAAAAAAAATTCATGCTTACGAATCAAAATTGTGGCTCCGCCCCTGGAGGCTATGGACCTATCGTTCTTGTATGACTGTACAGTCGGGTTTAGATCGACCATGCAATTTTTCAAGGGAGTTGCACGTATTATGGACCCCCAAACTAAATTTTGTTTATTACATTAAATACTAATAATTTTTCTCTTTTCTAATTATATACCTATAAAATGTTAATGGTGCCCCCTATAAATTACAAAATAAATTCACTTTTGCCCCCCTGCATATCATGAAGAGCATAAAAGATTTAATGCTGTATTTTAGAGTAGTGAATTGTCGTTTTGGATTTGAAATTGAAAAAAATCCAATTCAAACTCTAGTCTAAATTTTTTCTAATTTCAAATTTAAGTGACACCTAATGAGAATGTCAATGCACAATTCTATTGATCCTTAATCAATAATATTCTTTTGTTCTTCCGTCTGGTTGTGACCATAAATAGGTCTGTCTGTATTTGATGATAAAGATAGTACTGGAAATTGTTACTGTTGGGAACATGCACTGACCTTAGATCACTCAAAATCCAAAAGTTGACTAATCTTAACGAAGAGAAAAAATAGTTTTTCTCTTTGTATGTGGAGAATCAGCTGTTGTTTGCATCTCTATCACCAAGCATGGATCGAATTATATCCGAAATTCGACTTTGCCACAAGGTTCGCTCTCATCTTTTACAAAGGTTTGGGCTTTAGATTGGGTCCACCATTTTGCTCAAGTCATGGAAGACAGGGTCAATTTATTAGTGATAGGAGACATTGAATGAAGTCTGAACGACAAGCAAAGCCCAAATATATGACAACTACGATATAAAAGAAGGGGTAATTACTTCTTCTCCTTTCTTTTCTTTTCTTTTCCTTTTTGTTGGATTTTTTCACTAAAGAACCACTAGAGTTTCTTATAAGTTATAATTTGTGTGTGTGTGTGTGTAAAATTGGGTTGGAATATTATGAACAGTTAGGATTTGTGAAATTTTTATAGTGGTGAGCTTAGGGCGAATAATATTTTAGGGATGCATTATTGTTATAGTTCAGCATAGATTCTTGAAGAATTCCTTTAGATTTTATATCTTTATAATTGTAAAGTTACTACTCATTATATCATCAAAGAATTTGCATAAAAGAACAAAAAAAATATTGGAAAACACTACTTTGTTTTCTTTAAAGCAGTCTCCAAAAACAACTATTTGGAGGATAAGCTAGTTTTGTTTTGTTTTTGTTTTTTTATTTTTTTATATCAGGTTTCATAGCTGGGAACACAATTGTAGATTGAATTCTCTAGGACCATTTTAAGTAACTACTGTAAAAAAAAACCCAGGATATTTTATCTATGTTAGTCATAGAGCCTAAAATCAAATATAAATCAGGACAATGCTTGATCATTTTGCTTTAGCATGTCATGTGCAAGTGAATTCTTTCAGTTCTGGGAAAAGAAAAAAAAAATTTATTATTAAAATTACTCATTGCGACCATACGAAATATAATCATGAAACTGAAAATAAAGAGTTTAGACAAGCGAACATAAATAAATTCCTTTCAACCAAGCTTAGCAAGAACATCATTCAGGCTAGATACAGTCGCTGCATAATACTTCTGTGCTTCTGCTGGGCTCTTAATCTTTGCTGCATGGTCCAGCTGACATTTTCAATAACATTTAAACAAAATAACATTAGCATTTATATATGTTCGATTTTTTAAAAGCAATTCTCAAGAATTCAGAAAATATAAAACTATTTTCAAACAATTATAAAAAGTTTGTAACAGAAACTATCTATCAAAAATCTCATAAAACAGGAAACTGTTGTGAAAACTGAACCGAACCAAGCATGTCATTATACTCACGTCGCTGATGTCCTTGAAGAGCTTTCCAGTGAGGTCTTTGAGGGGTTTCTTTTCCTCTTTAGGCTTGGCGGAGATGATGGTGTTGAGATCAAAGCGGAGGTATGAAGCCCTAAGACGAAGGTCATTCTGGACATAGGGCCAAGCTTTCTTATCTATAAGCGATTTGACACCAACAATCTCCATCGCAGACTCCTTTGCCCTCTGCGCTGCCTTTGCTGGAGGCAGTGCTTGCAGGTAAAACCTCTCCTTGAGTGGCAGGTCATAGTCCCTTGGCTCATCAGAGTTCAGTGTTCCAGCTGCATGCCCAATTTCCAATATTTGCCACCATGTTTGCAGAGATGTCGTGCAAAAATTATTTATACATTTTAATACAAAAAAATATATATATGCGAGTGAGGCTTGTGGGTTCCACAGCACGAAGTTACAGTGAGGCCCACCTTCCTCTCACATCCCATTTTCTACTTTTAAAATTTAACTTTGTCCAAGTGTGTGATTTTTTGAACTTTTTGTGAAAAGTAAATAAATAAAATTTCAAATTTTGAGTGAAGTGTTTTTATATATATTGTTTGGTCAATTCCTTAAAAGTTTACTTAAAAAATATATATATATATATTAAAAATTGGTAGTCTAACAAATTTATACACACATACAATTAACATGGTACCAGAGTTGGATGTTATCTTTTCAAACACATTTACTGTGTTAATTCCATCTCAGCCTAAAAATTGAGACAATTGGTAACCTGACACATATGCAATTGTAAGTATTATATAACATAAAATATAGTTTGTAACATAGTGGAAGTGACAAGACTGGAAACTTACGCAGTCCACCGGAGGGCGGAGGAGGCGGTCCCACCTTGATGGATTTGGCTTCGGCGAGCACGGCTTGAACAAAAGACCCGGTGGCCAGCCCGGTGGCGACGAGACCCAGTACTGCTCGGCGACTGGTTTCGGTCTCGGTTGATCCGGTCTGCTGAGCTCTGACGGTAAAACCTGGCCGGGACACGGCGAAGCGGGTGCTGCCGGCTCCGCTCAGGCGGGTTGAGCCGCTGAGCTGGAGGCTGCCTTCCAAGACAGCCTGAGAGGAGCCGCGCAAACCAGTCATTGAAGCCATAGCTTGAGCCATTTTGCTCAGTGTGTTTTTTTTTTTTTTGTGATGAACCAAAGTTTTGAAGAAATAGATGAAGAATATGTGGAATATAACTTAATGTGGTGGGATGATATTATTTCCAGTTTGTTGTTTTGCTTCTGTGATGTAGAGTGATGCCTTATCTATGATTTGCCTCCTTGGATAAGTTGGATGTAGTTTTAGCCAATTCTTGTTTGACACGTATGCATATTTGTTGAAAAAGTTGGATTAGGTTTTATTTTGGGGTCTTATATTCTGCCACGTGGACTCATTGAATTTTGTTTTGATTAGAAACCCACACTTCTAATCTCTAAAACCATTCAACAATTCCCATTTATTGACAGGTTTATGGACACTCCTGAGTTGAATTTTAGAAAAACATTTTAGGATTCACCCGCTTCACTTGGGAATTTTAAAATACTTTTTTAAATAAATAAATAAATAAATATATATATCATCTGGACATTTTTAAATACTTCAAAACACACACTTAATGTATTCAATTTGAATATTAAAATATAATTTTTCAACAATAGCATTGCAGCATAATTAACGCATTTTGTCGAAAAGATGTGGTTTATAAATTGTTATGCAAATCACGCTGCTCGATTTTCAGTGACTTTGGAATCATGAGATTTCAAAAGGAATTCTACTTACTTTGAAATCATGAGATTTTAAAAGAAAATGAGATTCGAAAGAATTTCAAAGCAAATATCATAAAGTAAAAAAATCCAGAGAAAATAGAAAGCATTTGATAACAATTACTTAACTTACCAAAATTAGTGTTTTACAAACTGTTTTAACATCTCTTGTTTTTACAAATCACCTCTCCTTCGTATCTTTAATATCTCTTATTCGAAATGGTACAATTTTTTATTTTTTCAAGATCCTTTTTACAAATTCCAATTTATTCTTAATGTGCATATAGAATTTTAGTTTAACTACAATCCATTTACAGTTGCTTCTGCTCTCTCTTCGGTTTCAATCTCCCTATAGTATAGTAGTATTCTCCTTTTTTTGTTTTTTTTTTTTTTAAGTGATTTGAAGAGTTGTCAACTCTAGAATTTCATTACCTCTACAAATTATATACATTTTCCTTCGCGCTGGCACTGCCTCCTTTGTCACCAAGGCATACGGTTTGGATTTTTTTAATCGATTCATGTTCGGTCGAAAAATTAAATGGCCTTTTCTTTTTTTTTTTTCTTTTTTTTCTGTCTGTCCTTGAATCATGTTCTTGTTACTTAATTTTATTGAAAATTAGGTTCTTTGATACATTGATGGAGCTACATGCAAGTCGGGGCAATTTCTTCCCTAAATTTATAGTTAGAAGGTTATATGCTCATTATGCTTCAACCTTTTTTATAAAGAAATAATACATATAACATAGCAATCATTATTTTAATTTTACCTACGGATGCAAGAATTTAACGTTGGCTAACCCTCCTCCTGTTCAACCTGCCAAAGTCCCATCCTTAATTAATCCATATGCATGCTACATAAAAATGTACAAAATCAAGCCCCAGAGGGCCAGTTCCATGGTCAGATACAATCATTCAACAAAGACAAGCCCTGGTCCTAACTAGAGTAGCCCAACCCAGCAATCAAAAACGAGCACGATGAGACATTGCCACCAAATCAGAAACAGAGCATCGGGATATAGGATTGGGATTATGTAGTTTGGCTAGTACCATGGTAGAATGCATGGTAGGTATGCAAGGCCTGCAAGAGGTGAGATGGGACCAATTCACTTGAAGAAGATGGGGGTAGGGTTAATTGAGGAAGGGACCAAATCAAAGAATCTGAGAGCTGAGGATCAAGATCAAAGCTAGGCAGTATCTGATGGTTGCTGAGCTCAGGAATTAATCTGACAACTTCCCCAGGTACGTTCCAAGACCCATTACATTAGCAATCACATCTTTTAACTGTTGCTGCCACAAGCTCCAATTGAAGAACTTGAAAGAAATTTGACCCAGATCAGTCTTAAAATGTAAATGGGCCCCAATAGGACTCCAATTATCAAACCAGAGTTTCGTGGAAGAACCATCACAAATCTTTGTGCTTAATAAGAGAGTTGACAATAGGGTTTATATTCAGCAGGTATCTCCAATTCCAATATCAATTTTGAGGGATCTTTATGGTCCAAATGGGCCTATCCTTGATTAGATTTGTTCATCCCAGGAAGTTTAGGCAACACAATCCACCAGAGAGCTTGGGATAACATATGTTGGACCTCTGAGTCTGTGTGAATGGCCATGAGATTTGAAAGAAGTTGAGAAGGAACTGATTGAATAATGAAATAGAGGGATGTATGAATTACCTGGGAATTGGTGGGGGTCCTTGCCTTAAACATTTTGGAAGTATTGGAGAATCTCACCTTCCACTAAATCTCCATTATCAAGCTTCCTGGCTATATTTGCCACCCCATACTCTTATTATTCCATGTATAGAAGAGGCCACTGTATCTCAAATCTTCAATACCTGCATCATGCAAGCATTTACTGAACTGAGTTATAGCAGCAGATATTCTATTAGAACCCCCATGAGTTTCACTAGGCCCCTTGATTGCATTGAAATCGCCAAAAATTATCCAGGGGATTGTAAAACAGATTGAAGAATGCTGGATTAGGTTACTCCAGAGAGATTTTCTCTTCACTGCTGAAAAGGAGACAAAATACCATTGGCATTTTTTTTTTTTCCCCAAAAATTTGGTGACTAACTTTAGTGATTACTCGTGTCAGGGGTACCCTTGACTCTGAGTTGGATGATGACGAAATTTTTTCTAGAAGCTGCTCAACATTTCTTGAAAATGGAATGCCCATACCAGAGCTTATACACCATTACACTGCCATTATATGTATCTATGTATCTATATATATATGAAGAATGGCTAAAGCAAGTTCCTTCCCGTTCTTGCTATGCAATCTTGTATCTTTTTAATTTATGTGTTAAGAAATAAGATGTTGGCATACTGATGGAAGAGCTTTTATGAGGACGGAGATCGTCTACGGTGTCACCGAGATGAGAGGTCCCCGTTACACCTTCTTAAGCCAAAACCTCCTTCAGGTCTCTCTCTCTCTCTATATATATAAACATACGCACACTATATATATATATATGGTAAACAATTTAGCTTTTGCTTCATGTGTTGCTGAATTCCTTGAAATGGTCATTGTGATATCTGCTATAAAATTTAGAAAGAATCTTGATATGGGGAAAAAAAAAAAAATTAAATGTATGAAGCTTAATATGACATGAATGGAATTGTTCTCTTTCCGGTAGTTGCCTGGAACGCAAACTTGGTTTGCTTCCTGAAAAAGTATTTGGTGTGTACTAATACTTGCACACATTGATAAGTTTTAAGGGCCCAAACGACAAAGCTTTTATATTCTTTTCTTATGAGAAAATGAAGGGGTATTCTTCAAAATTTTATCAGTTGGTATAATCCAACATCAATTGGATGTTTTTCTTTGGTTATCTGAATTGTTTCATTTTTTTTTCTTTTAATATTCTGCTGCATTCTAAATCTTGGAACCTTGTCATAGTCTGCTAAATGGTTAACCTATCGTCTTAAAATGACTGCTCAATTAAAAGAGATTGCATCCATACTTGGAGCTTCTTGTTAATAAGTTCCTTTAATTTTCTGTGAAATCTTTGTATGAGTTTTCTGTATGAAGTCATTCTCTGTTCAGATTAGAAAGACCTTGTTGCATTTTTGCATGTTCAATAAGTAAATATAAAACTTATCATTTCTTACAAAGTCCATGCATATCAAAATATTTATCTACCTAACATGATTTTATGGTTAATATTATCTTTATTCCAACTTTCTTTAGTTATTCTTGCAGTAATAGCTAATGTATAACTTGCAAAATTTAACACTGTTTCGTATCTGTCCCAATTCAGTAGAGAAGCAAACGAGTTCCAAACTGTATTGTCAAAAGTGCAAGTGAGAAAAAGATAATCAGAATCTCCCCAGCAATTGTGACAGATTGAGACTATTCTGAAATGCTAGAGCCTAGTTCACAAGCACAACCTTCACTCAACCTTAACCCTTAGGGCCAAGTTACCACTCACTTCCACCTTCACGGTTAAATTCAACCTTCACAGTAGCTTCGCATTTTCTGGCTTGACTGGGTATGTGGTGGTGGAATGAGCGAGAATATAAGAGAGAAAATGAGAGAATTAGGCTTTGTTTGGGACCAAAGGTTTTATACACTTGAATTTTCCTCCCAAATACCATGAGAAGAACAAATTTTAAATAAAAAAAAAAAAAAAAAGTTTAACTTAGAACAAATTTAAATAAAAAAAAAACAGTTTAACTTGGAGCCTTGCAACTCCTTACCTTAAGAAATCTTTATAGACTATAGTTTCCCTTAAAATGTACCAAACTAAACCTTAAAGGTGCCATATTTCATTCAGGATGCACTCTAGAACTGAGCATACGCCGCATCCCCATATCAAGTACCAATAGTTGTTGGAAAGATTTGAGACTTTTGGGCGGATGTACGCTCTGAATACTGGATAAGGAAGATGACTCGATGACTATAGATTGTCAAGAGAGATATGAGAAGAGAGTCAAGTCCATGTACTCGATGGGCTGTTACTTTTTGCCCTCAGAAATAGTAGAGGATGTAGATCTTTTGATCAGAAGGGCTGAGAGATGCTTGCTAGCCGACATGATAATGATTGATGCCGATGATGCCTGCAAGGATGATTATTCTGTATGGTAAACATTATTGCAAAGATTGTCGGGCGTCTTGGTCTTGAGAAGACAATGTTTGAAGCATCAAATTCCAAACCCTCTGTTTGGTTTATTAGACAATATGGTCCCAGGGTATTTTGCTCTTTTCATTCAACCTTTTCTTGCATCGGGGCGTTTGGTTGTTTCCTTTCTGATGTTTGTAACAATTTTTTATTATTGGCTTGGATTTCAGGTGAACCTTCTTGTGGATCACTCTCAAGTGATGGATCTGGAATGTGTTCGAGGTTGCAACCTTGGTAAAAATCACACATCTGTTCTTGGTTTGTCCGCAGTGGAACTGGTTATGCTAAACTGGCGCCAAATATATATAGTCCGCAGTGGAACTGTTTATGCTTTGTAATTGTCCTGTGTTATTTTGTATGTGTTTGCCTTTGTTCATATATAATTTTTACTTCTGTATTAGTACTCTTATTTGCTCTTAGTAACATCTTCATGTTATTGCAAACCATGTAGATTTAATCTGTAACATAACCTTTTGTTTCCATAGTTGATTTTGATGCTTCTTACAAAAAAATAATAATGAATGGTTGGTGCTAAGCATGTTTTGATCCCTCAGTAGCACCTCGATCAGGCGGTGGTGGTTTTTTTTGTTTTTTTTTGTTTTTTTTTTTTTTTTCTGACCTGCAGTTAATATAATACAACTTCGGCGTAGCTATAACTTAGATCTTGTACAAATGGTCTAAATATTTTTTTCTATACATTTCTAGTTATCAAAAGCATCAAACTGAGTTCACTTGGTCGATTTAAAAGAGGAAATCTTACTCCTGAAATCCTATACCTTGTGACTTGGTCGATGTCTAGACCTTGTGAGTTGTGAGGTTATATGTTTTGCTCGAAACGGAGTAATACAAAACATAAATTTTATACGAAATTTTAAGTAGGTTCGTTAAGAAATTCTTGTGGATCTATAGACGAAGGCGTTCCTCTTCGCAAGGAGATTAACATGGTATATTTACTTTCTCAAATTCGTTTTCTGGTTAATAAGATTTTAGCTTCGAAATAAGGTGTTTGATAAGCTTAAATGAGTATGTAAAATGTGGGAAGTAATTGTCTCACATTGAATAAAAAGTGAAACTAATAAGAATATATATAACCCAAGTTTGGAATTTGAGTTTGGGTTCAAGGGTACCCAAATTTTTACTATGCGGGTCCAAATCATTTATCACACATGCTGTTAATTTTTTTATTAAACTGAATTTTTTAACTGGGCCTTGATGTTTGGGCTTAATTTAATTTTTGTGCTGGATTTATTATGACGGGTTTCACAAATTGGTATGTCTGGTCCAAATCAGTGCTTTCAAAGGGTTGCACCTAGTCCGAACCAGTGTTACTCTTTGAACTAAACCATCGCATCTAGTGCAGGTGATGGTTCAGGTTACCCGAAAAGGCACCATGCTGCCTATAAAGACCCCCTTGGGGTCATTTGCAATTCGTACTAGAAACTTAGAAATCCTCTATTATTATGAGTTCTTACATATAATATAGTTCTGTAGTTGCTTGAGTTCAGTAAGAGAGAGTATTACACCAAACCGGTTCGTCCATTTCTTTGGTTTGCAGTGTTGCTATCGAAAAAAGAAAGATCGTTGTATTCTAAGAGACAGACGTTACAGAGTCCGTTAGCACCTTAGCGGAGCGAATCTGTCTTCAAGATATAGAATTAAATTCTAACCTCAACCTATTATCAGATTCCTTTATTATATAGGAGTAGTTTATTATATTAATTTATAATTTTATATAATATATAATATTGTTTTCATAGTATTATATATATATATATATATTATTATTATTGTTTTATAACATTAATTATATATATTATACCTAGTCTATTATCAGGTTCCCTTTATTATATAGTTTATTATATTGATTTATAATTTTATCTAATATATAGTACTATTTTCATAATATTATATATACATATATATATTATTATTTTATAACATTAATTATATATAATATAATTTATTATAATATTTAAATAGTGATACTATAATACATAGTTACATACACATATTTCATACACACATTTTGACAACGTCTTGCTCTTAGGGTGCCAATGATTACCATGAAAGCATTCTCATTATAGAATCATTCAAAAATCGAAGGGATTTTTTTTCCCTCGAAAAGTAAAATCAAAAGGATTTTGGTCCTATTATAATTAATTTATAAGTATTTACTGTAATAAAGTTTTTTTTCTTTTTAATTGGTACTTAAACAACTTCTCAAAGAAATTATTTATACTTAAAAGAGAAGTAGAACGAACTTAATAAAGTTGAGTAAATCCTTTGCACTAATAAAGTTCCTTTGGCATTAATAAAGTTTCTCCAACAGTTTGTAAAGTGACGGATGGCATCATTCATCATCCTCTCTCTCTCTCTCTACATGAATATATATATATATATATAATATATCCTATTATTCATTAAATATTATATTCCAGTTCCACAAAGCTCTAGTCAATTGTTTTCTTCTTTTTACCCACTTTTCTTTCCACTCACACTGAAGGGCAGACAAAGAGGTAGGCAAAAAAATATATATATATTTACTATACTAATATATTAGCCCAGCCCAAAAAGTAAAAAAAAAATTAATAGTATTAATCCACCCCAAAAATCTAATGAAGCCCAAATCAACTGTATAAAGGTCCAAACCAAATAACCCCATGAATGGGCACCAGAAAATAAATAAATAAAAATTTAGGGCAAATCATTTCAGGCTTTTCAGCCTCCCGTCCAGCTCCTTCATATTTTAGGGCAAATCATTTCAGATTTTCAGGCTTTTCTTTTCAACCTCCCACGTTCACACTCAACAAATTGGAATAGCTTTCATGATTCATCACTTCAGACTCTTAAGTATAAAGCACAAGTGCACGGTCAATTGATATTCAAGATAAGTCATAATTCATTTCTTCAACTATTCAATATATATATATATATATATATATATATATATATATATATTTTTGCTTAAAAAAATTACTTAACGTGGGGTTTGGTTAATTGGTTGATATATTTTGATTTAGGTAAATTACTTAAAAATTTAAAATTACTTGTTTTGCAAACTTAATATAGGTCAACAAATTGAATTGAATCACACAATTTCTAATTAGATCTCCCTTTGCAGAAATTGCTGAAGGCCAACAGATTGGAATTGCTTTCATCACTTTAAACTCAGTATAACGCACAAGTACACAACAAACTGGATCAATTGATATTCAAAGGTAAGTCATTTCTTCAATTATTCAATATATATATATATATATATATATATATATATATATATATATATTATTCCAGATTTTTTCTTAACAAAATTACTTAATATAGGGTTTGGTTAATTGGTTGATATATTTTGATTTGGTAAATTACTTAAAAATTTAAAATTACTTGTTTTGCAAACTAAAAAGTCTAAAATAGAATTAAACAACAGTGCTTATGTTAATTTGGAAAAAATAGACAAGTAGTGATACTGTGATAGAATGTTAAAAAGTAGAAACTACACAAGCAATGATAGAATGTTAAAAACTAGAAACTACGATTTACAGCTAGTCTTATCATGGTATTGGTTGATATATTTTGATTTAGGTATTTTTTATCTAACTCATTCTTTAATTTTATTAAGTTAAATAATAATGGCTCAACATCAACCTCCAAATAAGAAAGTGAAAAAGGATATATCTAGTGGTAGTGCATCTAACGTTGACGATGATTAATCGAAAAATGATATACCTAATGATCTTATTTGAAAAATTGACTTGGAGTCTATTATTGACGAATTTGAGTCTTTCGTCGAGCACAACTTAGATAGATATTTTATAATCTTTGAATTTAAATATTTAAATATTTTTCTATATTATGTTATAATTTTTTTTTTTTTTTGCTTAAGAAATTTTGTTATTAAATTTATGTTTAATATTAGCCCACCCCAACGAGAAATCCTAGATCCGCCCTTACTCACACTCACATGTATGACACGCATAAAAAACACACACCCACGCACGCACGCTCCACCTTATTTATATAAATGTGCAAAATAAACACCCTTGCAGCTTAAGAATGTGCATGTAAACTCTCGACATTTGAAAATGTATAAAGTGACAGCTAATTATGATCAATTTTTTAAATAAAATTCCAAAATATCTTTAATAGTCTCTTTCTCCACTCTCTCATTTTTTTTTTTTAAAGACGTTTTTGATATTTCACTCTTCAAATTGAAAAAATATTCTTATTTACTCAATTTAAAAAATATAAGATTTTTTTTTTTTTTTTACTTTACCATTCTTTTTAGAGCAGTGATAGGAAACCGAAAGGTATCTCCCAAATTAATCACCGAATTTGACGTAACTTGGCCACGTTAGATTTTCACTCCTCTTGCGTGAGGGAACACAGTTCATCACGTGCAGGTAAAAAAAATAATTAAAAAAAGAAAAGAAAAGGTGGGAACGTAATTGTATATCGTGAAAAGGAATACCGAAAAATTCAGAAGTCTCCGAAATTAGAGAGAACTAATCTTTATCTTTTTTTAAGGAATCAACTTATCTTTATTTTGTTACATCAAATAAAATCACTACACTGGTTGAATTGCTCCTGGAGAAGAAAATTGATTCAAAGAGTGATGTTGTGAATACTCCCTAATTTTTTTTGCGTGATTCGAATACAAGATGATCATATAATTCTTAAAATTAGATCATTGAGTAATACCTAAATCTATTAAGAAATTTGTATAAAAAAATCTTTAAATATTTATGATTTATTACCAACATATATGTAATTATGTGTGTGTGTGTGTGTGTGTGTGTATATATATGTATATATTTGTATATACCCATCTTCTTTCGGTCATTTTCACAGTGTCCATGACTCCATTACCTTCCTTGTATTTTTCTCAAACAATTTTTTTATTTTTATTTTATTTATTTTTGGGGGTGATCTAAGCACGTGATGACTCTTTTACTCTTCACAATATTTTAGAGAATTTGACGTGACTTGACCGCGTTAAATTCAGTTGTTTTTTTCGGGGGTTACCTTCGCCCCCTTATCATTTTCCTTCTTTTTATTATTCATTTATGGGTTAAAAATCATAAAACCTCACTCTACTTTTAAAATCATGCATAAAATCACAGTAGAATTAAAAAATATCTAACAAAAGTTATTAAGTTACCTTGAACCCGTGTCTGACCCGTTCAACGTGTTGTAAAATGTCAAATTTGACATTACTATTTAATATTAAATTAAAAGCTATAATTATTATATTAAATTTTAAAAATATCTCTTTATAATAATATTATTTAATGTTAGATGAGTTATTATCTTACTAACAATTAAGACACATTTTCCATCCCCAATATTATTTTATAATTTTAAAATAATAATTATAACTTTTAATTTAATATTAAATAATAAGGTCAAATTTGACATTTCACAACTCATTTAATGGGCCAATTACGCATTTGTGAGTAACTTAATAAATTTTGTTAGTTCATAAATTTTTT